TAGATAGATAGATAGATAGATAGATAGATAGATAGATAGATAGATAGATAGATAGATAGATAGATAGATAGATAGATAGATAGATAGATAGATAGATTAAGAGTCACTTTTGCAAAAACCGAAATTGCAAATAGTATTATTGTTATTATTATTTTTGACAGATTATAGACAAAAAACTCTTGCACAACAGTCTGAATATGGCCGATCATTTTCGGGCAAATACCGGAAACTTTTTGGCAGCCAAACACTGTACCACACAAACAGCGTGATATCGTTAACAATCCGTATTTTCTTATTAGTCACAGGCTCTTATTGCATTTTTAATGGCTGTAAATAAATATGCTTCTTTGAAATTCTCAACTATGCCTGTACTACGTTGTTTTATGAATATTAAAAACTGATTCATTGAAGAGACAGAGCTGGCGTTAAAAGGTGTACAGCAACATTAAGGCACCTCCTCTCCCTCCCCTTTCGGGGTGTGTTCAAGACTGCAGGCTATCATTTGTGTCATTTTGTGGCGAGACTCTTGTGAAACACCTGCTCACAACAGCCCTTCTGTTCATTTTTTTTCAATAAAGGTAAGAGCATCAAAAACTTTATTTCGTCTATCATTGCATTTATGCATGTATCGGTGCGGACCTTATAAAAAGCTGTTTTAAGTTTCACAGTCTGTGTATTTATCTTGCAATATAAAGAGTTCAACTGTGTCGCTCAGAATTTTCCCTGAGAGGCTCGATTTTTAGGATAATTAAGGAATATAAACCAGACGAAAGTGAAAGTGGATTTATTTCATTTTAGACTGTGCATTTGTTTTGCTTATTCATGTGACGATAAAAGAAACATCTTCAATAAAGTTGAACATCTGGAGAAAGAAGAAAACCACTATTTTGTCAGAGACAACATTTGAGCTCAATGTTTAGACCCGGATCATCACTTTTATTTGACATTTTCCCTTTAAAACTCGAACTGAGCTGACCAGATAGCCGAGATTCGGTTTTTTTTGGAGACAGACATAAGGAATATAACGAGACACCACTGGCATGACTGCCCGAGCATGGTTATCAAACTCTTTGTGACCTGATAAGATCAAGAATGTGTGCAGAATTTTAATGTACAAATATAATTTATCGTGGTGGTCAGTGAAAGAGAAAGCCCCCTTCCGCCAGTTTCACTTTCCATTTGTGTGCCTTTTGCTTTTCCCCCTCCAGATGCAGAAGTGGGTTGTGATCTGCTGGGCCGTCCTGGCTGTGGTTGGTGCTGATGTGTGTCCAGATGGAGGGCTGTGTAAAGAAGGGGAAACCTGCTGCAACAGCCCAGCAAACGGTTACGGGTGTTGCCGATATGAAAACGTAAGGCCAGGTGTTATTATACCATCATGCAACTTGAGTGTTCATGACAATGTAATTACATTTATTGTACTTGTTTTAATTGGCTTCCTTTTTGCAGTAAGAGTGGGGGGGGGGGGGGGGGGGACCCAAACAGATATCCATTTGGGTTTATGTTCTGCTAGTAACTCATTTAAACCAAGTTTTGATCTATGGAAATCTCACAATCTCTAAAAACAAAACAAAAAACAAATGTATAGAAACGTTTCTGAGAGACGTCAGACATCTACAATTATAATCAGAAGAAATGATTGCTGTTATTGATGAGTTGGTTTACTTAAAACCAGAATCAGACCTGTTGTAAATTATTTTCCTATACGACATTTGTTTAAATCAATAAAAATCTATTAGCTTTATATATTCGTATGAACAGTTTCATTTACACCAACTAAATGCATTCCTATAGACTAAAAATAGCTCAGCTTATTAGCCATCAAGTATGTAAATATTAAAGAGTAAAACGTGTAGTGTTCACATCTTCATGGTAACTGGACAAAATCTTCTATAGATTTCTGTTTTAAAATAACTCCAAAAGTGCAAAAGGGAGGAATTCCATCCTAACCTACTGAGCAAAGCTGCAGTACGTCACCTTCAGTGTAGGTAAATTGTCCCTTTGTCTATAGTTAAATGTACATGTGAGATAACCCTTCACTTATACTTTAAAGTAAATATAATTATGCAGCGATACTATTCACCCTCAGCTGTGTTTTACTACTTTGAAATCCAGATAGAAGAACGTGCCGCTTTCCCTCAATGTGATAGCTGTTTCAAACTTTGGTAGTCAAAGTGTTTCTACTACTGCTGTCTCCTCAGGCTGAGTGCTGTGATGATCACATCCACTGCTGTCCAGAGGGCACAGTCTGTAATAAAGCCTTATCTGGCTGTATTAATACTACCCTGACCATCCCCTGGGTGAAAAGAACCCCTGCTGATCAGCCCAAAGTCTCTAAAGTAAGCGTCGTCACACGTTAGTTGTTTTCTGTCACAAAGTCAGATTAAATAATCGTGGTGGATTAAAAGAAGTAATACTGTCCTCTTTCCCACCTTCTGACCACTCAGTCCTTCAGGATGATCAAGACATACGAGAGTCAGGAAGACGACAACATCTGCCCCGACCTGTCACGATGCCCTGCTGAGTATTCCTGTCTGAAGGGTTTGACGAAGTTTGGCTGCTGTCCTCTAACTCAGGTAAGCTAACCACCACAAATAAGACGTGCTTCACATACTTAAGTAGCACTGAGTGGAAAAACAAAGTGAGTGATGACACTAATCTTTTATTTGTGGTTCATTCCTGTGAAGGAATCTTGAATCTAGGAGGGGATTTCCATACATACACACCGATCAACCACATGATTAAAACTCGTTATTCTAATATTGTGCAGCCAAAAGAGCTCTGACCAGAAGGGGTACTCACTCAGGGTCTCTGAAAGTTTTGACTACCAAGAAATTGGTGGCAGAGTTAGTCTGCAAATTTTTGGGTGACTGGTACATATCAGATTAACTTGCATATGATTACTAAGTACATGGCAACAAGATGGTTATCTATTCACTTCACCTGTCAGTAGCTTTGATGTTTTGGATAACAGGTTCACGTATTTTGTCCCCTTGTCATATTTAGTTATTGTCATATTCATTTCCAGCATCATCTCACTTCCTTTAAAGCTCCCTGGTTGTTACTGTACTTTGGGTACGGCATGTTTAAACATCTTTCACTTCTGTTTTGCATCTTGAATCACACCACTATAACAAAGGTCGGTGCTGAACAACATAGTACAGTTTGGTAAAACTACACCTCCCTTCTCTTTGCTTTTCTAAAGAGTCACTCTAAATAAATCTTAACTTTTTTTTTGCAAACTGCATTTAAGCTGTTAACAACTCCACCTGCTGTTACAGAACATCCATTAGGAAAGCTATGGATATTTCCCTTACCCACCCCACAGGCTCTCGTGGGAAAAAGTAAAAAGATGTCTTTATGTCACTGGGTTACAGTTGGAAGTCGAATCTATTTAAACAACATGCACTTTAGAAGACTTTTGTTTATCATCTTGAGTCTTCTGTTTAAAGGGAAAGCTCTAACAGAAATTGGCTCAGATCTACAAATCCTTTTGTTATGTATGACCAATACTTCAGTATCTTTCACCAGCACCAACGCAACAATTATTTATGTTTCGTCTCATTTTTTTTTCTGCTTGTATTTTGTTTTAATTTCAATTTAGGGATTTATCTTTTTTAATTTCCAGATTTATAGCTAACGGTCTTTCAACTGATAAACAGCAAAGTCCCTAACCATTTAATCGATGCCATGAAAAAGACACTTGCACAGTGATAGAGCTTACTTCCTCTCAAAAGAGGATCTTTCTTTGATGCTTTGTTTGCATAGCTGGTTGACCCACTAAGCTTCTACACTTTACCGAGGACATTCAGTGTTTTGGAATAGATTTTTGCTCTTGTTACAAGTTTAATGTAAACTTACCTGCCACTTAATTAGCTACACCTTCTAGCTTGGTCAAGCCCCTCATTTCAAAAAGCCAAACCTCCATGGCGCATAACATGCTTGTTGTATAATTGCAGTCTCCTCATATAACAAGCACCTTTAGTTACTAACTAAATATCTTTTTGCATCTTGAACTTTGCAAAGAGATGTTTCTCAGAGATTCTGGTACATTGACATGATAACATCAGATTCAGATCCATGATGTGAACCTCCTGTTCCACCATATTCAAAAAGTGTTCTGTTGGACCCAGATTTATGACTGTGGAGATCTTTTGAGTGCATTGACCTCATTGTCATGTCAAGAAACTCCGTTGAGCTGGTCAGAGCTTTTGTGGTGTGGTGCATTAACCGGCTGGAGGCAGCCATCAGGAGTTAGGTATACTGCAGCCATACGAGGATGGACACGGTCAGCAGCACACAGGCGGTGGCATTTAAAAGATATTCAGTTAGTACTAAATGCACCACGAAAACATCCTCCAAACACCACACCACCACCAGCTTTAATATATTAGTAGGATGGCAGCTGAAAAAGTGTCCATAATAAACTGGCTGGAGATTGTAAAAGGGGTCTCTGCTTGCACTAAAACAGCAGCTGGTCGTTTGTTGCTCTTTATTTAACACTGAACCTCTTTGAAATCTTTCATTTACTGCATGAATAGATAAACAGTTCCAATGCTTTTGTTGAATTCATAATTCTTGATTTCCTCACTGCTATCAGGGAATCTCCTGCCCCGATGGCAAACACTGCTGCCCTGAGGGCCACGACTGCAGCTCAGACAGCCGAGGCTGCATCAAAAAAGGTTCAACTTCCCCGCCAAAGTATCATAATTCAGTCGTATCACTATTCCTTTTCCTGTTTTGAGTTTTGATGTTCATGTGATATTGTTGCAGAGCTCGTGGTTACAGTTCTATGCAGCGATGGCATTTCAGAGTGCCCAGATGGTACCACCTGCTGTGAAACAAATGACGGGAAATGGGCATGCTGTCCACTATCAAAGGTACAAAATGCTACTCCATACCATGAGTGAGATCATGAATGACAAAAAAGTCAAATTATGGATTTGCATGTCCTGCATTGACGTCCAGTTATCATGACTTAATGGTGTTTTATTATTTTCCATGTGAACAGGCCGTGTGCTGCGCTGACAAGATACACTGCTGCTCTGAAGGGACCACATGTGATGTCGAGCATTCCAAATGCATTGACTCTTCTACCAAGAAAGAGATGCCAATGTGGGCAAAGCTCCCTGCCAGAGTGAGAGCAGCTTGGGAAAACCAGAAAGGTCAGAAATTTTTCATTGACTATTTTTCTGTGAACGTTAAGCTTAGTTCCTTGTTCTCACTAAGTATTTGAAAGTGTGTGTGTGTGTGTGTGTGTGTGTGTTTATCTTGATCTTTGTGTTTTTCTGTTCCCAGAAGAAGTGCCAGTTGAAGCAGTGAATAACACAGGAACAGAAAACGCCCCCAAAGTCACCACAGCCAATCTGCTTCCTCCATCTGGTAAGACAGTAAATGTGTCATCAGTTGCTAAGGCAGCTGCAGGTGAGACTATCCCCATGAAACAAATAATGTAGAACAATGAGACTGGAAAAAAAAAGCACATGATTTATCACAAGACACATAAAGGTGATTCCATCTCAAGTTTCAACATCTTAAAATGACTGCTGAGAATTTTTAGCTTTGTATGTCAAATGCTTTCCAAGATATTATTTTTTAAAAGGTGGTCCACTGACTCACTTTCGGGCCATTTTTTTTGGCATTGTCGGTTTTTAGGTGTGCCTGTGCGTGCATGATTAATGGTTCAGGTAAATCTTTTTTTCTCTTACCAGTTTCATTATTTCCTGGTAATGACAAGACAAATCTGGCGCTGATAGGCAGGTCTATCCAGCTATAATTAAATGCCGCAACACCCTGTCATCAAAGAATGTTTTTGTTTGGTGGTAGTTTTTCCCTTACCAAGCCTGCTAACTATTACAACATATTTATAATGCTTGTTCAGAAACATCACTGTAACTCGTGAAAAACATGTCAAAATATTACAGTGCAGGCAGCCCAGTTTGAACTTTTAATATGATATTGAAGGTAAAAGGGGGAGCCGCTGCAACGACCCACTCTGAAATCAGTGGAAGCATTTTGGTGGGACAAGCCGGAATGCTAAGAACAAATAACGCACAGATACAGATACCTGCTAAGTAACATGCAAATAGAATTCTACACTTTTTGGATGTGCTGTTACTACAAATAACCACACAGAAAGCCATATTTTTTATTTTTATGTGTCAATTCTTGTGTGTATTAAAAAAAACAAAAACAACTTTGTATGGCAAGTATGGTCAAAAGGTCCAGTTCTGTGAATCAACAGTTTAGCAGTCCTGTCTGCATTCACCAGTCACTCAAATCAGCCACAGCCTAACTTTAAGTTTCAATAAACAATAAATAATCTAAACTCTTACCAGAAGAGCTGAAGCTGTTATAGCTGCAAATGGTGGGCCGACATCATATTAAACCCTTTGGGTTAAGAACAGGATGTCACTGAAGTTCATATGCGTGTGAAGAGCGATGAGTGAATACTTTTGGCAATATACATCATTGGTTCTGCTGTTAGTCCAATATGCATTTTCAATTCAAATATATATTTTTAATGTGATGATTTTTGTTGCAATGTCATGGAACAAAAAAACACTGAGGCTGAGGGGCAGAAACCTGAAGCACCACATGGTTTGTTTGACAGATCAAACTTGACAGTCAACCTTTTAAAGTACTTGGAAAAAGGAGAAGTTTTATTTTTAAAGAATGGCTTTTGTAGCGTGACATCTAAATTGTTCCAGTATGTGTGACTGTATTGGTAAATACTTCCTCATATAACACAGACTGCTCCAAACTGACTCTGATTTGGCTACAAGAGAAAGGAATAGTGGTGAATGCAGCTGTCTTAATATAACAGTGCTTTTGCCTGCATTACTTCTGCCCAAAACAGCTCTGTTCCTCCTCAGTTCCTGCCAACTATAAATGATAACTATTGGAATAATATGGTGTTATGAGGTGTGGATAACATATGACAGGCCCTGATCATTCAGGACTTTGTATTTCAGGAGAAACATTTTATATTTTATTTGCAGTTGTGTAATTGTTTTAGTCTTTTATTTAAATACAAATAAAATGTTTGCAGTTTCGAGTTCATGAATTCTTAGTCAGAGAATGGATGTCTTTACTGACAGGTATTTAAGTAAAACAAAAATATTTAAAGACGTGTCCCTGGTCTGTGGTAAATTATACTAGTTTTTATGTTATATGCATTTTTTACTGTCATAACTCAGAAATAATATTCAATTGATTGGGGCGTCTTCATTTTCTTTAATTTTGTTTGTGTTCAAACTCACTGACAACTGACATTGCTCCATAACACTGCGAGTGGTCAAAGAGTGCACCGGGTAATTTTAGTAATTATAACATGGAACTGTTATTGTCGTCAATTCCAAATTTGACAAAATCTCATGATGATCTCGCTGGTTGTTCGTATCACTTATCAAATAGTTCATGAGGATGATTATTACATTCAGTCAGTGGAAATGAGGTCTCACAACGATGGCAGTCTTGAAACATTAGTGAATTAATTTTTTTCTCAATGTCTTTTCTCCAGCAAACGATGTCCCATGTGACGATACATCGGCCTGTCCTGATGGCACCACCTGCTGTAAAACCCAAGAAGGTGGCTGGGCCTGCTGTCCAATGCCAGAGGTACAGTTTTACCATCTATCCGTCAATTTTCTTAACTGGCTTTTTTGGGCAGGAGGAGGGAGAGAGGGGAGGGAGGGCACAAGCAATTCAAAGCCCTGACTGCCTGATTTTATTTAACAGTTTCTTTTAGACATTTCAGGTGTTTTTAGTATATTGACAGCTTTCTGTCTGTGCTGTCATTTATTTCCAGGCTGTTTGTTGTGACGACTTCATACACTGTTGTCCCAAAGGGAAGAAATGTAACTTGGAGGCTCAAACCTGTGAAGACGGCCTGATCTCTGTGCCCTGGGCCAAGAAGGTTCCTGCAATCATAAAGCAGAAGGTAGAGGTGAAGGATGTTCCATGTGACGATACATCAGCCTGTCCTGATGGCACCACCTGCTGTAAAACCCAGGAAGGTGGCTGGGCCTGCTGTCCAATGCCAGAGGTACAGTATTACCATCTATCCGTCAATTTTCTTAACTGGCTTTCTTTGTCAGGCTTGGAGGGGGAGGGACAGGGCAGGGCACAAGTCAAAATCAAAGCCTTGCCTGATATTTATTTAACAGTTTCTGTTTAACATTTCAGGTGTTTTTAGTATATTGACAGCTTTCTGTCTGTGCTGTCATTTCATTTCCAGGCTGTTTGTTGTGACAGACTTCATACACTGTTGTCCCAAAGGGAAGAAATGTAACTTGGAGGCTCAAACCTGTGAAGACGGCCTGATCTCTGTGCCCTGGGCCAAGAAGTTCCTGCAATCATAAAGCAGAAGGTAGAGGTGAAGGATGTTCCATGTGACGATACATCAGCCTGTCCTGATGGCACCACCTGCTGTAAAACCCAGGAAGGTGGCTGGGCCTGCTGTCCAATGCCAGAGGTACAGTATTACCATCTATACATCCATTTTCTTAAATGCTTGTCAATTTCAGGGTTGGCGGGGAGAGGGGAGGGCAGGATGAACACATATTACACAGCTCTGTCTGCCATTTATTTAGACATTTCTGTTTAAATGTATAATTACTTGCAGTTTAAGGTCAATTTAGTATATTGATGGTATTCTGTTCGCCCTAATTCCAGGCTGTTTGTTGTGAAGACTTCATACACTGTTGTCCCAAAGGGAAGAAATGTAACTTGGAGGCTCAAACCTGTGAAGACGGCCTGATCTCTGTGCCCTGGGCCAAGAAGGTTCCTGCAATCATAAAGCAGAAGGTAGAGGTGAAGGATGTTCCATGTGACGATACATCAGCCTGTCCTGATGGCACCACCTGCTGTAAAACCCAGGAAGGTGGCTGGGCCTGCTGTCCAATGCCAGAGGTACAGTATTACCATCTATCCGTCATTTTCTTAACTGGCTTTCTTTGTCAGGCTTGGAGGGGTGAGGACAGGGCAGGGCACAAGTAAACATCAAAGCCTTGCCTGATATTTATTTAACAGTTTCTGTTTAACATTTCAGGTGTTTTTAGTATATTGACAGCTTTCTGTCTGTGCTGTCATTTTGTTTCCAGGCTGTTTGTTGTGACGACTTCATACACTGTTGTCCCAAAGGGAAGAAATGTAACTTGGAGGCTCAAACCTGTGAAGACGGCCTGATCTCTGTGCCCTGGGCCAAGAAGCTTCCTGCAATCATAAAGCAGAAGGTAGAGGTGAAGGATGTTCCATGTGACGATACATCAGCCTGTCCTGATGGCACCACCTGCTGTAAAACCCAAGAAGGTGGCTGGGCCTGCTGTCCAATGCCAGAGGTACAGTGTTACCATCTATCCATCCATTTTCTTAAACACTTGTCCACTTCATGGATGAGGGAATGGCTTGAACCTATCCTGGCTCTCATGGGGTGGGATAAGGGGCAGATTACACCTTGGATAGGTCTCCTGTCTATTGCAGGGCTAACACATACCACACAGCCTCGTCTCACATGTGTTTCAAAGTTCATATTTATATATGTAACTACTTGTAGTTTAAGGTGTTTTTTTATCCTGTAATTTCATTTCCAGGCTGTTTGTTGTGAAGACTTCATACACTGTTGTCCCAAAGGGAAGAAATGTAACTTGGAGGCTCAAACCTGTGAAGACGGCCTGATCTCTGTGCCCTGGGCCAAGAAGGTTCCTGCAATCATAAAGCAGAAGGTAGAGGTGAAGGATGTTCCATGTGACGATACATCAGCCTGTCCTGATGGCACCACCTGCTGTAAAACCCAGGAAGGTGGCTGGGCCTGCTGTCCAATGCCAGAGGTACAGTATTACCATCTATACATCCATTTTCTTAAATGCTTGTCAATTTCAGGGTTGGCGGGGAGAGGGGAGGGCAGGATGAACACATATTACACAGCTCTGTCTGCCATTTATTTAGACATTTCTGTTTAAATGTATAATTACTTGCAGTTTAAGGTCAATTTAGTATATTGATGGTATTCTGTTCGCCCTAATTCCAGGCTGTTTGTTGTGAAGACTTCATACACTGTTGTCCCAAAGGGAAGAAATGTAACTTGGAGGCTCAAACCTGTGAAGACGGCCTGATCTCTGTGCCCTGGGCCAAGAAGGTTCCTGCAATCATAAAGCAGAAGGTAGAGGTGAAGGATGTTCCATGTGACGATACATCAGCCTGTCCTGATGGCACCACCTGCTGTAAAACCCAAGAAGGTGGCTGGGCCTGCTGTCCAATGCCAGAGGTACAGTTGTTACCATCTATACCGTAAGTGCTAGACACCCTGTTTGTACTTGTAATAACTGTGATCCCGGCATGCTGTGCTAAGCAAATAGCCTTTGAACTCTTAGAATTCACCTCGTGGAGTGAAGCGCCACAGAGAGGCAATGGTTGCTAGGATCTTGTACATTTGTCAAGATCGTAACTTCAATTCTAACGCGCTCTCGGTAAACCCAACCTGCCAAATGGCCCGGTCGGTCCGACACAAAGTAATAGTGTAATGTAGGCAGGAGATTCCAATTACACGGGAACCAAATCTGGCAGGATCACAACGGACTACTCTCAGGCAATTGCTCTATTACCTACGCCAGGGCATTTCAATATAGTGCACATCTGGACGAGACCTGAGCCGACAGGAGCCATTACGTGGGAACATCTCTGAATCAGAGGGCTAAGGGTATTCTCTGCTGTATCAGCATCCACTTGTGAATCACTCATCATTATATGTTGATCGGTATACATTATATATACAGATGCTCAGCTGTCATCAGTACTTCATATGTGCATGTATTTTTATGGACCTCGCAGTGGCTAAGTCCTTGGATGAGTACATTTCTCCCATGAAAGCTAGTAGTGAACGTAACTTTGGGATATTCATCGTAGCATTCTTTGTAGCTTATAAGCAAGGCGCACTAAGCACACCTGTTGTTATTCATTCGTTTTATACACTTCTTTGTGTGAATTTCGGTGTTGAAGACCATACTGTTTCCAAAGGAAGAAGAACTTGGAGGCTCAAACCTGTGAAGACGGCCTGATGTCTGTGCCCTGGGCCAAGAAGCCTGATCTAAGCAGTGTGTCCTGCATAATCATTCCTGAGCACACCTGCTTAAACCAGAAGGTGGCCGCGCCAATGCCAGGGTAGTGTTACATTTCCCCATTTTAACTTGCACTGATGAGAATGGCTACCTATCGCTCTCTGGGGAAAGGCAGATTACACTTAGGCTTGTTATTGCCTAAACCACAGCTCCTATGTTTTCAAATTATAGATATTGATAAGGGTTTTTACGAATTTCTTTCCACTGTTTGCTCATACGTTCCGGAGTGTAACTGATAACCTTGAGACGGCCTGAGTGCTGGCAAGAAGTCCTGCATCAAGCGGTGGGAAGTTCCATGTCATACTCAGCCTGCCTACAACTGCTTAAACCAGAGGTGGCTGTCATCAGTACTATACCATCTATCCTCCATTTTCTTAACATGCTTGTCATTGTCAGGTTGGGGGGAGAGGAGGGCAGGTGCACACATATTACACAAAGCCTCTGTCTGTCATTTATTTAACAGTTTCTGTTTAACATTTACTGAGGTGTTAGGTCTTTAGTATATTGAGGTATTCTGTCTTGCTGTCATTGCTAATTCCAGGCTGTTTGTTGTGAGACTTCATACACTGTTGTCCCAAAGGGAAGAAATGTAACTTGGAGGCTCAAACCTGTGAAGACGGCCTGATCTCTGTGCCCTGGGCCAAGAAGGTTCCTGCAATCATAAAGCAGAAGGTAGAGGTGAAGGATGTTCCATGTGACGATACATCAGCCTGTCCTGATGGCACCACCTGCTGTAAAACCCAAGAAGGTGGCTGGGCCTGCTGTCCAATGCCAGAGGTACAGTTTTACCATCTATTAATTTGTCTTGATGCATGCCTAATCATGCAGGTACCGTCAAGTGGTCTTAAATGTACACCCTGTTGATGTATCTTCGGTACACTAGACTTGGTGTAGATTCCCCGGGCATAGCCTGTGGCATGAAGTCCGGTCAATAGTATTGCCTTGTTGTAACTGCTTCAGACAATCTATCACCCTCGTAATGGGAAGGGGGCTAAGGAAAGCACCAGCCAATCCAGGAGAGAAGGACAACTGGTTGCCTAAGCGAAAATCCTTAGTGATCCATTATGTGTCAGGAGGATCGTAACAGTTGAAACAAATTTTTTCTAAACGCCGCGTCTCTGTGGCTTTAAAACCCCAAAACACGGTGGACCAAAAATTGGCCCACCCCAAGGATCAGGTCCCCCGACACAAACAGAATAATTTAGTGTACACTGTTAGGTGACAGGAGGATTGTCATGATTTATACCATGGGGGAACCCAAACAACCTATGGCGAAACCGTTGGCACAACACAGAAGAGCTAACTCGTCAGGCCAGGACTCCACAGTCTATTTACACCTACAGGTCAATGGACACTCTTTCAGTGATGAGGATGTACACATCCTGGACAGTGAGGAACACTCGTTTAAGCGGGGATTCAAGGAGGTTATTTGGGTGAAAAGGGAAAGACCATCTCTGAATCGAGGGGGAGGTCTAAGGGTACATCTTTCACCATCGTACAATGCTGTGATTACAGCCTTCCCCAACTCTCTGTGACTGGAGTGGTTGTTAATCAATAGTCATGACAATTTGCATAGTAACGATCAAGGAACTGACCTCACAGCCCATTGTTCATTCAGTGACCTAGTTTCAGACATTGTGCAAATGTACTGTTTATAAGGTTGGGGAAACCTGCAGTCAGCTGAGACTGCAAGAAGTCACTTGGATGAGTGATGAAATTTTCTCCCACTGAAAACGCTACGTCCAGATGAGCAGAATCAAACTTCTGGGCATATTATTCATTTCGCCTAACTGCATTTACTTTGTCAGGCTTGAAGGGTAAAAGGCAGAGGAGGCGAAGACAGGGCATAAGCATACACCACAGCCTCGTCTGATATTTATTTAACATTTCAGGTGTTTTTAGTATATTGACACCTTTCTGTCTGTACTGTGATTTCATTTCCAGGCTGTTTGTTGTGAAGACTTCATACACTGTTGTCCCAAAGGGAAGAAATGTAACTTGGAGGCTCAAACCTGTGAAGACGGCCTGATCTCTGTGCCCTGGGCCAAGAAGTTCCTGCAATCATAAAGCAGAAGGTAGAGGTGAAGGATGTTCCATGTGACGATACATCAGCCTGTCCTGATGGCACCACCTGCTGTAAAACCCAAGAAGGTGGCTGGGCCTGCTGTCCAATGCCAGAGGTACAGTGTTACCATCTATCCATCCATTTTCTTAAACACTTGTCCACTTCATGGATGAGGGAATGGCTTGAACCTATCCTGGCTCTCATGGGGTGGGATAAGGGGCAGATTACACCTTGGATAGGTCTCCTGTCTATTGCAGGGCTAACACATACCACACAGCCTCGTCTCACATGTGTTTCAAAGTTCATATTTATATATGTAACTACTTGTAGTTTAAGGTGTTTTTTTATCCTGTAATTTCATTTCCAGGCTGTTTGTTGTGAAGACTTCATACACTGTTGTCCCAAAGGGAAGAAATGTAACTTGGAGGCTCAAACCTGTGAAGACGGCCTGATGTCTGTGCCCTGGGCCAAGAAGGTCCCTGCAATCATAAAGCAGAAGGTAGAGGTGAAGGATGTTCCATGTGACGATACATCAGCCTGTCCTGATGGCACCACCTGCTGTAAAACCCAGGAAGGTGGCTGGGCCTGCTGTCCAATGCCAGAGGTACAGTATTACCATCTATCGTCCATTTTCTTAATGGCTTTCTTGTCAGGTTGGCAGGGGAGAGGGGAGGGCAGGGAACACAAGTAACACAAGCCTGTCGCCTGTATTTATTTAACATTTCTGTAATGTAACATCTTGCAGTGGTCATTTTAGTATATTGAAGTTTCTGTCTGTGCTGTCATTTTGTTTCCAGGCTGTTTGTTGTGAAGACTTCATACACTGTTGTCCCAAAGGGAAGAAATGTAACTTGGAGGCTCAAACCTGTGAAGACGGCCTGATGTCTGTGCCCTGGGCCAAGAAGCTTCCTGCAATCATAAAGCAGAAGGCAGAGGAGAAGAAAGTTCCTTGTGATCACACAGCAGCCTGTCCTGATGGCACCACCTGCTGTAAAACCCAAGAAGGTCGCTGGGCCTGCTGTCCATTGCCAGAGGTTAGCATTGGACTGAAATCGGTTTTTAGACCACATTTCTCAAAAGTACTTTATTAACACACACAGAATGTCAAATTTACACCAAACAGAAAACTGTTGGTAACCTAAAGTTCCGTCACTCTGGATGGCTGCATGCAGCTATCACCAGGAACCTGTTAGTTAAAGGAGCTTAAACTGCTGTACGTGCTGTATGTCCTGCATCTTTTACAAAAACTGGAGACCACTTGAGTATCATATTGAGTGTACAGAAAATAAAGAGTCTGTGGTTAAAAATGTGACTTGTTAAGAGTGTAAAATTACTCTGAGGTCAGTAAAACTGGACAAGTGCGTTGTAACGGTGAGTGTGTTACATGATTTACTGCTGCACCCACTTTACTTAAAAACAAAAGAAAGTTCTGTGACTGCACTAACCCTTGTCTTTGCTAGCCTCTGCACAGACACAGTCAGTTTGTTTGTGTAGTGCATGACAAAAAATAAAAGCAGGTTGTTGTATTTCTAGAAATATCAAATAATATCTTTAATCTACATTGCATTTAACCTGTTTTATTTTTGTCAACATTGCTCTGCCAAGCATTGTCAGGCTTCTGTTTGTATTTGAACTTGACTATCTGTGACTGACTGCACTTTTGTCTTTTTGCATAAAAGGCGGTCTGCTGCGACGATCACAAACACTGCTGCCCGAGCGGCACCACCTGTGACCCGACCGCCGTGTCTTGCAATGGCCCATCAGGCTCAACTCCCATGCTACAGAAGGTACCTGCGTTCACTACTGAAGCACCTACTACTGTGCAGCCTACAACTGAGAGTCCAACAACAAGCGCTAAATCGGAGGAAGAGGACAAAGAAGAAGGCATGATTAACTGTGATGCCCACACCAGCTGCCCTCAGTCGACCACCTGCTGCTACATGAAGAATTTTGAAAAGTGGGGCTGCTGTCCGCTGCCTGAGGTGAGCTCTGCTTTTTCACAGCATCACTGACCTCCAGTGTCTCCTCCATCTGTTATTAAACATCAATATGCAGCAGCCCAGCGCATATTTGTCGCAGTTTAATTTTATAATGACAGGAGGACATACAGAAAGTGTCAATAAGGTCTTGTTCTCATCCATCTTTTCTAAAATGGTTGCTTCTATTGGCAGTCATTGGAAGAGTCAACATTAACGTCACTATTACTTTGCATCCTAACAATGCTTACACGTATGTGTCACATCTATGAGTCATACCCCCACTCCTGATATAAACGGCGGTTTTGGAAGAGATTGCAAATTTGCACACAACACAATTGAGGCAGTTGATGTTTACTATGATTACCAGCCAGTCCACAAACACCAATCAAACATATTGCTTGAATAAGTTGTGCAGTACAGCACAGTTTCATTTGCAAAGCTGTTGTCATTTAATCCTCCAATATGTAAAGAAATGCTTCACTAACTCTACACTCTACACAGTTATTACACACCTTGGGCCGTCAGTAACATTTCCCAGGTTTTGAAAAAAAGCTTATTTTTACACCACAGTGGTTTTGTTGATGTCTTTTGTGTAGCTGAAGATTATTTGTCCTTCTACAATACAAGAAAGAGAAAAGTCCAGTACAAGAAAATAAGATAGTTTAGATCATTTTAAAAGCCAACCTCTTTTAGGACCTGGCAAGATTCAAAACATCCTGAAGAAGTTGCAAGAGATCTTAAAAGAGGATTAGATGGTTTATTTTAGACCATGTGGTGTGAGGTATGTGTGTGAGTGTGTGTGTGGAGGGCGGGGGAACCACACAGATCACCAAGCAGTTTTTAGGCCGGCTGAGTTTTTTCATTCCTAAAACTTCCTTTGAAGCTTATGAAAGAAAAACCTGCGGCCCACACTGCAGTCACGGGAGATGTTAACTGAATGTCACCTGTTCATCAAGCCCCAAAAAACAACAACTAGACATCATCTTTAGCCCTAATTTGCATGGTGATATCCTGTTTTTCTGTTTCACATCTTTTCTCATATTCCTGTTGAGAACTGGCGACTTTAGCAGCTTACAGGCCACAGTCACTCAAATGAACTCGAATGAACTTTATTTTGGTTGCCACTCTGAATTTATAATAGTCATTTATAAACTGATGTGTCTTTAAGTTTCTAGAATAGAATTTCAGCATCTTCTTCAGACTCTCTATAACCTTTATATATACACCAATGAAAAAAAGAAGTGAAACAGCAGAATTGATGAAGTGAAAGCCACTGCTCATGTTTTCACTTCTCCCCAGGCGGTGTGCTGTGAGGATGGGAGTCACTGCTGTCCTAACCAGTATAAATGTGACAATAGCCGCACGTCGTGCATAAAAGGAGAAGTAGTGATTCCATGGTACACCAAAATTCCAGCCATTACCAGCGACGAGGCCGAGCCCTACTCTGTCCAGTGCGAAGGTGCAAGCCAGTGTCCTGAACAAACCAGCTGCTGCAAGCTGTTCACAGGCGAGTGGGGCTGCTGTCCACTCAAAAATGTGAGTGCATGAAAATATCATATAGTCTGGTAGCCGTCTCATCAGGTCAGGCTTTGCCTATGCAAACTGGGGACTATAATTTGCACCAACTATGTGTCTGCAGGCTGTTTGCTGTCCGGATAAGGAGCACTGTTGCCCGCAGGGTTACACCTGTGACATCTTATCCAGATCCTGCCAGAAGCTCATCATGATGCAGCTGGAGAGAGTCCCACTGACACCGGTGTATCTACTTGAGCCTCAACCCCAGCTCAGCCCAACAAAGCACAAAGACATCACGTGCGATGAACAGACCAATTGCGGGCATGATGAAACTTGCTGCAGGACTTCTGCCACTTCCTGGGGCTGCTGTCCATCTTCTAACGTATGATTTACAGAAACTAGTCCTGCTTCCTTCCTTCTGCTTTATGTTAACTGTCAGGGAGAGCTGAGAACTGTCAGTAAGCCAAGGGCTCCAAAATTTTTCATATGCTTACCTCAGAAAAGGGAGGCTGCACCTCTTGACTGCCTTCAGGCTCACTGCTATTTTGAGATCACTCCTGGAAAGTCCAGTTTTAGGTCAGCAGATGAAAGTAATTTTATTTTACAGCCAAAGTAGTATTTCCTCATTTTGTACTATATACAGTAATTCCCTAGATTTCAGTTCCATCCTTCAGTGAAATTATAACCCTTTACAGTTAGGTTAACTTTTACCAGACTGCAAACTCAACCATTTTACCCTCTAATTAGTTTGTAAACATATATTCACTGCTCGAGATTCAACATGAGCTCCATTGTAAACAAATTAGTAGGTTAAACCACTGTTGACATGATTTAAACTAATATGTTGTATAAATATGTAGGCCTCTAAACAGAGCCATAAGGAGAACTTTGCTACTTAAAAAAATTAGTGGTATTACTGTTGTGTTTTCATGTAATACTAAAAGGCAAATCTGTACTTACATTGCAGCATCTTTTTAAAAAAAATGCCTTATAAAGCATCACAACGTCTGAATTGTGAGGTTTTGTGCCAATAAAAAGCGAGCGCGTATGAGTTAAGTAAACCATTCAGTTTTTTTTACAGACTTTCCTCCCTCTGTCCTCCCTCTAGGCGGTGTGCTGCAGCAACATGAAGCACTGCTGCCCGACGGGGTACACCTGTACGGAAGAAAACTCCTGCATCCAGAACTCCAAGCTTTACTGGCCCAACTGGCACGTGTTCCTCGCCAACAAAAAAAGAGCCCTAATTGTGTGAAAACACCACCTCTAAACTGTTACTAGTTTTAGTTTTTGCATATAACGCACTAATGGAGAAAGAATTCTACGTTAATTTCAAAATGCTTTGTTTTTAAATGACACTTTGAAAACGATTTGCACCTCAGTTGCTAAGATGTTTGCAATCTTGAAGTTGAACATTTTGGTCTGAATGCACCTAATTATATAGATGACCGTGTGACTAATGTATTTAAGGAGTTATCTTTGTTATTCCAAGCACACTCAGTTTGTCACTTGAAACGCTACTCCATCCACAATAGAAGACAATCGAAACACTCCACTTGTCAGTCATCTGTTTCTTTAAGACTTGCTGCAGCTGCCTTCTGTTGAAAAGGTTATTTCTTTATCAATAATAGTCAATCAGTCAAAACCTGATTCAATATCTTTCATCATTCTGAACATTCAGTCTGATCATTTAATGATTTTGTGGTGTAATTACTCATTAAATCTTGGGTTCATAATTTTGTGCATTGGATTAGTAATCTGTGTTAATGAGGCAAAGGTGAAGAAATTCATGCTTGGGTGATCTTACCCTGTCAAAGTGTCACATTATCCATTAAATCAATAAAAAAGAAGTGACATTATTAAAAGTTGTCCAGTCACTTATTGTGGTTTATTAGAAAGGGCTGTGAAAAAAGAAAATGCAGTTTATGAATGCTGTTATATTTAGTTTTATATTTATTTTACAGTGCCAATGTCTGCTATAAATAACATTATAATATATATTTTATTCTTTGGTATAAGTAGAAATAATTGTTCTCCTTTGTCACATTTCAAAAAGGCCATGCAAATGATAAAAAGAAAACAGGTGTTACAATAAGGACGTCCACTACAATTTCACGTAAAAGATTACCTGGCCTGTTTTCCCTTATCCTTATTTCCGGTACAGAATTTCACTTTTTAGGCTGACGTCGTACTGCTGGAGATTTCACTTTTATTTATTTATTTTTTTGAAACCGTGATTTCAGGTTTTATGTGGGCTCGTGCTGCCTCCTGTCTACCTGCAGTAAAAATTACAGCTTAAGTGGAAATCCAAACATCCGATTCTACGTTTCAAAATAATAGTCTAACCCGGAGAAGTAAGTTTCTTGATTGAATATTAAAACTGATTTTTTTAAAGAGCTAAAACAACAAGTAAAAAAATATATATTTAAAAATAAATGATAAAATACGACACTTCAAATGAACTGTGAAATTATTTATTACATTAATCGAAAGCTTAAAGTTACATGTTGGCAGTAATGGTGTGTTTTATACATTGTATAAATATATAGAGGGACGTTAAAATGGGATTTGGCAGGTGGGGTAATTAATGAAAAGTAAGTCACAGAATTATTTCGTTTGTGAGGTCCAGTAGATTTTCCTTTGAGTGCAGAATGGGATCAGCTGATCTGCTCCTCCGGTACTCAGTGCAATTACATTCAAGATATAATTAAATGTTTCATTTCCAACGGGGTCCTTTTAGCTCATTTAGCTCATCCTTTTATGCATTTGTGCATTTCCGATATTAAGGTAAACGTTTATTTAAACTTTTATTTTGAAGACATGCGAGCCCAGTTTCCGGCAATTGACTCCGTTTACTTGACGTACCTGCGTTTTGACGTATGAATCATCCTTCCTCCTAAGATGGCGTTGCACCTGTTCTGTCTGTGTTGATTCTACTTGTTTTCGGCTCGGCATTAGAAAATAAACGATCTTCCAAGCGTCGACATTAAAGCGGACACGGTTCCGAAGCGAGGTCGGCTGTTTAAAGATGTCCACAGACGAGCTGTCAGCCTCGGATAGCGAGGCTGTGCTAGCCGGAGCAGGGGAGCGGTGGGCTCCGGTGGGCGCTGTGGCTAGCCCCGAGGATGAGAGCGGGAGCTGCGGCAGCGGCGCTCATTCGAGGCAGAGATGCTCGACGTCGGCCAGCGAGGAGGAAATGACCTCCCGGCTGAGGAGGCTCGAGGAGGAGCAGGACTTACTAAACTCCTCTCTCCTCGCACTCACCTCTCACTTCGCTCAGGTCCAGTTCAGACTGAAGCAGATCGTTCACGCACAGAGCGAGGAGAAGGAGAGGATGCTGGCAGACCTGGAGGAGTTCGCCTTCAGGGGATGCCCGCATGTGGTGGGCTGCAGGGCTCAGGACACCAAGCAGCTGGAGAACTCGGTGAGGACTCTGATTTTTATACTTCCTCCAGACAGTGCGCAGACGAGAAGTGTCATAATTTTAAAATAAATATTTCCTTGTGTTGCTCTGTAATTGATTCCTATTATTACTCACATTCACTCCATATATTAGGATTGCTGTATATTATTGGTATTTTGTACCAAAAGGTTGAAAAGCTGTTTCTGTGTCAGCATTAAAATTGGATAAACATTGCATACCTGTACTAATTGGTTTCGTTTTCCAGCCTCCTCCTTTTCTGTCTTTTCTGATGGGTAAATGCTCATGGCGCTATTAAACTGCCCAACATGCACACATTTACTCTCTAGCAGCCAGTTATTCTGATTAAAGTGTCTTTATTGCATCACAGGATTGGCTGCTGCGCCCACCTGTGTGTTCCTGCAGAACTCTTATCTCTCATGGAAAAAAAAATGTCTCCTTTTGTCTTTTGTCACAGGCGTGTGAGTCACAGCAGCGCAGGCTAAATAAAAACGCCTCGAGCAGATCTCAGTCTGTTTAATAAAGGCTTGTGTTTGCACAGGGAAATTGAAGCCACCTGCTTTGTTCCTTTTCTTCTTCTTCTTTTTAACCCCTCTTCGGCCACAGCCTTGTGTCCTCGTTAGCTGCTGTGTGTGTGACTATAGATTTTCCTCATGTGTTTGACCTAAAAGCCCTTTTTCTTTGTCTCCCCTGTTGCATGCTTTGCTTGCAGGGCGATCTGGTGAGTATGAAGCGATACCTGATGTCTCGTTGAGAGTTTGGTTTGTGTAAAAGTCCTGTTCAGTGTTTGTCAGACCTTGAAGTGGCCCAAATATTCAGTTTTTTGTGTGTTTTCATCTTAACTGGAAAATGCTGGAAACAAAATTTCTGTTTGTTGATGCTGGCAAAGCGTCCACACTGGTGTCTGTTTGTTACATGCTGTTTCAGTGTTGTGATGCTCACACTGTCAGCTCCTGTCTGTAAAATCTAGAGTGACTGTTTGTGTTTTTCTCCTGTCAGAGTGAGAGGGAGAAGAGGGAACGTCTGGAAGCACAGAGGGAAAAACAGAAGGATCTCATTTTCCAGCTGAAGACGCAGCTGGATGATCTTGAGCGCTTTGCCTACCAGGAGGGAAGCTACGACTCGCTGCCGCAGTCCGTCGTCATGGAGAGACAGAAGGTGGGTTTGTGTCAATGCAAACATCACAGCACTTAAATGCTGTTTACAGGTTTTCCTGACAGCCTTCAATCCCTGTTTCTCTTTTAATCTTTACAACCACCAAAGTGCAAATAAAAACTTCAGGCTCTTCCACCGTCTCAAGTGTCTTCGAGTACTTTCATAAACATTACATTATGCTGCACAATATAATGTGACGTTTGCGTGTTTCAGTTCAGGTCAAATATCTGACCTCAGCGTGCCCCAGGTTTTGTAAGGATAAGCTGTTTCTCTCATACCTATTAATACTTATTAAAAAGTCTTTTAAAAGTACAGAGGTTATCCTGTAATCACAAAGCTGTACAAGTAGTTATATTTATATTTGAGTTATTTTTGTGCCATTTCTTTGTTAGCATATCTGAAGGTTATATAACAGGAAATCAAAGTTGGTTTGATCTGGAAGGGTGAGGAACTTGAGACTAAAGCGAAAGATTTCGCTGTCAGGAAGATGGCTCTTTTATCTAGGGGAGATCACTGTTAGATAACCTGCTCGAGATCACATTATGTTCAGAAGGGTTTTTTTTAAAAAAAAGGGTTTTTTTAAAAGTACAACATTTCCACAGATTCATTCGCGACTATAAGCTCTAAGAGCAAAAGAGTTTCTCAGCTGAGCCAATCCATTATTCATTAGACTTTTGAACTGTGTGTTAGTGATGCCACTGAATGAAGCCATGCAAACATGAGAAAGTCGAAGTGATCTCCATGATGTCATCGGCCAAATTTGGAGCGATTGTGGCTCAAGAGTTGGGAGTTCGCTGGAAGGTTGCCAGTTCGAGCCCTGGCTTAGACAGTCTCAGTCGTTGTGTCCTTGGGCAAGACACTTCACCTGTTGCCTACTGGTGGTGGTCAGAGGGCCCGGTGGCGCCAGTGTCCGGGAGCCTCGCCTCTGTCAGTGCGCCCCAGGGTGGCTGTGTCTACAATGTAGCTGCCATCACCAGTGTGTGAATGTGTGTGTGAATGGGTGGATGATTGGATATGTAAAGCGCTTTGGGGTCCTTAGGGACTAGTAAAGCGCTATAAAAATACAGGCCATTTATCTGTTGAGTGTGCAAATAAGCAACTTTAAACAGCCATCAAGTTTAAATTTAAGAATGCCCTTAACATTCAAAAGCTTCTACTCCCTCTTGGAGGCAGTGACAATACGCAAAAGGCGTTTAAGCTTCAGCCTGTCTTGTGCTTTCCAGGTCATCATTGATGAGTTGATCAAAAAGTTGGATGTAAACCTGAACGAGGACATCGGGAACTTGTCACCTGAGGAGCTGAGGCAGAGAGTGGACGCTGCCATCGCTCAGATAGTGAACCCAGCCAGAGTCAAAGAGCAGCTGGTGGAGCAGCTCAAAACGCAAATCAGGGATCTGGAGATGTTCATCAACTTCATCCAGGGTACACAGCCTTCTGAGCCGTGGTTTTACTAGCAATGAGATTCATTTTTAATTTCATTCACATGATAACTTTGACATTTTCTTCCACAAGATGAGGTGGGGAACCCTCTTTTGTCAGATGGACGCAGCCAGCAGCCACGCGCAGCAGGGACCAATACCAGATCTCCAGGAGCAAAGAAGAAAGGTCTGACACTCTGTATGTTTGTTGTATACAGAGATTTCTTAACTGTAGCTTTGATAACACAGGGTACAGTTTTTTTGCTTTGTAGCGTTTGTAAAATAAAGTCTTTAAAATGTGTGCGTTCCTAATATGCGTTTTTCTTGTGGTTCTTCCTGCTGCAGTGGACCCAGAGCAGGCCCAGAGGATGCGAGAGACCGGCCTGCAGCTAATCCAGAAGGCCCTGGCCGTGCTGCAAATCTTCGCTGCCAGCCAATTTGGCTGCGCGACCGGACACGTCCCCCAGAGCATGTGGCCTCAGGATCTGTGCGGGCAGGACTACGGACCCCTGCTGCAGCGGCTGGAGGCAGCTGTGGAGAAGGTGCGAGTTCTGGGATCGCATAGGCACCCATCTGTCGAACACGTGGTCAATTACACCAGCAGCTCCACACTGGGGGCCCGAGACGAGCTGACGACGTCTGTGAGGAAGGAGCTGGCCATTGCTCTGAAAGACTTGTTGGCTCACGGCCTCTTTTCACCCTCTCAGACCATGAGCGTAGTGCTGGCACCCATCTCCTGCCTTCTGCCTTACAGACCGGTCTCACAAACCATGCACCCATGGGAACTCTTTGTGAAGTACTACCACTCCAAAAACGGGAAGGCCTTCGTAGAGTCACCGGCCCGCCAGCTCTCTCAGTCCTTTGGCCTGCA